AGTTCAAGAAGACTCCTTGCTTGTTTGTGGAGCCCAGGACAAAAGCCCCTGAGAAACAGATCTTACTTTATTTTATTGTTTTCCTTTTTCAGATTCTTTTTTATCCCACTTATTTTTCTGTTTGTGCACCTGTATATATGCGCCACAGTCCCTACCATGAGCGTGCAGACGGTAGAAGTAGGTTCTCCTTCCACTCGGGTTGTCATCTATCCCACAACAAGATGGCATTTATTTATTTGTTGGGTGTGAGTGCGAGTGCGTGTGTTATGGCACACAGGTGGGGGTCAGAAGACAGCCAGGGCAGGTTGGTTCTCTTCCTTCTATTATCTGGACATCAGGAACTGATCTCAGGTACAGCCATCTCACCAGCCAAAGATTTATCTTTGTTATTTTACATGTATGTGTATGAGTGTTTTGCCCACTTGTGTCTGTGCACCACATTCATGTTGGTGCTTAAGGAGATGGTGAGCCTCCATGTGGGTGCTGGGAATCAAACCCAGTTCTTTGCAACAACAACGTGTGTTCTTAGCCACTAGGACAACTCTCCAGCTCCCCTCCCCCCATTTATCTTAAAAAGAAAAAAAGTGTGTGTGTGTGTGTGTGTGTGTGTGTGTGTGTGTAAGTGTGCATGTGTACTGGTACCTACAAAAACAAGAAAAAGAAGAATATTGCATTCCCTGGAGTTTTAGGTGGTTGTGAGCCACCCACTGTAAACACTGTACAGTGTCCAGACTGCTACCAGAACCAAACCCAAGATTCTTTTTTTTTAATTATTAATTTTATATGTTGAGTGTTTTGCCTACATGTATGTCTGCGCACCATAAACAGAGACCTCACAAAGGCCAAAAGAGAACACTGGATCCCCTAGACCTGGAGTAACAAACAGTTGTGAGCTGAGAACTGAACCTGGGTCCTCTGTAAAAGCAGGTGCTCTTAACTGCTGAACCACCTCTCCAGCCCCAATTTAGTCCTTTTAAAGACAAAAAGGTTGAGAGCCTGAGGCAGGAGGATTGCTCTAAGGCAAGGCAAGCCTTCATTATACAGTGATACTCTCAGTCTTGGAGACAGACAGACACACACACACACACACACACACACACACACACACACACACACACACACACACACACCCTCCATGGGGAGGGCACCATATACCTTGGCTGTTACCAGTAGACAAGTAGCTCAAGGCTTGTCTTGAGCTGTGGGTAGCCAACAAGCTGGACTTCAGCCAGAACGCCCTCTGGTTATACTTGCCAGAGTAACAAGCATATCTCCTGGTGTAAGAAAGCCAGTGCAGGGACCTGAAGAATGTCCAGGCCCTACTTCAGCTCCCCCTGGCTCAAAACCAGATCTGGCTGCCAAATCCTATAGAAACAGACTTGGTTGTCATAGCAAAGCCACATACACTTCCCCTGGCTTTTCCCTCGATGTCCCCTTAGCACATCTTTTCCATCCCAAACAGTCAGTGTCCCTAGAGTGCCTTTACTTGCCTCAGTGAAGACCTCCCAGAATCTCTAAAAACTCTGCGCAGAAGCTCATTCTGCTTCCTTCTCTCCCAAGACCCCAGCCTGACTTCTACCCTCAGTTTTCCCACTGTCTATACCCACAGCTTCAAACTCTGCATGGGGCCCTAATTAGCTTTTCCTTCCCAGCATTCTGCCTTCTTCTTACACTCCATAACCCAGCCTCTGCACCTTCCCTGCCCAGGCTGAACTTCTTCAGAGTCCAGAGAGTGAGCTTCAACATCCCCCTGCCAGTGGCACTAGTCTTACCTCACTGCCCTTCCTTTCCCAAATCTGTGGTAAAGGAATCAGGCTTTGTCTACAAGTACAAAGGGTTTCCCAGAGGAGGGGACTAGCCAGATCCAGAGTAGACAGAGCTTCTGAGGTACACGTCATCCCATTTGAATGTCCTGCTATCTCAGACAAATTCAGCTGGAAACTTGTAACAGGTTTGACTACCTGCTTCTCTTGTGGCTTTGACTCCCTGGTGCATTCTTCTTCCCACCCACAGAAGCTGGGGTACAGTCACTAAAGTCCCTGACCAGACAGAAGGTAGAGGAGAGAGACCTGCCCAGCCCCATTCCACACTATACCCCTGCTTCTGGCACTCACACCAGCTCCACCCTCAAACCTGGATTTCTTCAAGATTGTTCCCCCTTGTACCCTCTCCCAAAAATGGGTATCCCCCTGGATCTCTTGGGATTGGATGGCCCTACTTCTTGGTTTCTACCCTGTGACCTTCTTCTACCTGGGACTTTCAAGCATCAAGTCCTACATTATCAGCTCATTCCTAGTAGTCTGTTTCCCTTCAGCCATATGACTCTTCCCTATGTCTAGTGTTTTGGGGATACTGGAGGTATCTATTAAAGGATGGTAGGTCGGTAGGTTCCTCTCCAAGGATTTGAGAGAACTGATAAAGTGCTAGGTACCCACTTGCTGTAAGGTAAGACTTACAGGAATTCTGGTCCACAGTAAGATACAACCAGCTGATCAGTTTTAAAGGTGGGCACAGGCTGACATTTCACACTCATGGTACTTGTGGCAGAGTGATCATGACCATGGGCCACAAACTCAGACAGACCTGGGTTCAAAGTCTGTTTTGACCATTCAAGAAAGGACGGCTGGGTAAGTTGCTTGACTTTGAAAGAGACTAGATTTTTCACTATAAAACATTGTAATGGAGCCAGGTCTGAAAGGAGCTGTCAGAGGTAACACATAACTAAAAGCTACAGATACATCACCACCACCACCACCATCAGCAGCAGCTCTGAGAGATTGGAGGCTGAAAAAGTCCAAAAGGCCAGCCCACAGACAAGCCATGAGCGTGTGGGCACAAAAAGGCTGACCCAAGCTTTGTTCCTTCTGCTCCCTCCACTGCTATCAGTAAACGAGGAGCCCCAGTGCACCCTCAGACTAGTCCCTTGCTAAGCTGAGCCAGGCAGCCCATAATTTCTACCCATCTTAGATCCTCCTACAGCTGTACCTTCCTATTTCCTATTTCCCACACCAGGCATTGCTCCATCCATGATTTATACCCACTGGGTGCTGGAGAATAGGGAGACCCCCAAAGACTGTTTAGTCTGAAGGGCAATGGTAGAGAACCCCATTTATTTCTGTTCTGTCTGCCACAAATCAGAACTAAAGACCCAGATCTTTTGATTCATTTCCAAAAAGACTCTGATATACAGCTACCAGAAGTTACAGCAAGGAACTTCTCGGATTTGAACACCACTCTTGGCCACTCCTTCCTGGTCTGTGGTCACTTTGGTCAGGTTGCATACAGTGGTTCTCACTTCCTGAAGGAACAACGACCAAGAGATGCAGGAACCTCAGGGTACAGGAACTGGAGTTTCCTCCAGAGTGTCTCCTGGAGTATCTTTATGGCTGAAACAGTTCCTGCCACATAGACCCCCAAAAAGGTATCTGGGCATAGCAAGGCCCAAAGAAGATTGAAGAGCAAGGCTGAACGGTTACTGAATGAAGGCCCAGCAGTGAACAAAGGAATGAACCTGTGTGTGCATGGGGAGGGGCTTGAGGGGAGATGAGACTAAAGTGGCAGATATCTCTAGACTTCAGCCTCATCTGATCTTCTTGGCCTGCTTGGAAATATCCAGGCTAGGACAACTGGCCAAGTGAGAGTTAGAAGGCAATGAATGATTCAGCTTCCTCATTCTTTCCTGCAACTTACCTGAATTATAAAGTTCATCATTATGCATACCAGAAGGTTCTCAGACTTTGCCCTGATCTGCCTCCTCCCTTACCTATAGAACTCGCTAGCTTGCTCCAAGCCCTTTCTCACTGGGCCTTTATACCTCTGGCTCCCCCTGTCTGTAAGGCTCTTCCGGCAATATCGCAAGATTGTTTCTCCATCAGGTCTTTGGCTAACTGTAGCGCTCCCTACTAAACGATTTAAGAACGACCAACAATCACTTTACCTGCGTTCATTTTTGTGGACTTTTTTGGTAATATTTATTACAGTTCCTCATGATTTTTAACTCTTTTATCAGTCGCTTGCTCCTTTTAAGAATAACAGTTCTGGAGGTTGAATTGCCACAACGAGACACTTATTAAAATCTTGGGACATTTTTGTTGTAGCGAAACAGGGCTGTGGTACTACTACCATCCAGAAAACAAATCCAGAAATGCTGCTCAACATCCTACAATGTACAGGATCCTAGAGGCAGAATGTTCTGTCTCAAAACCGCGTACCAGATGAGCTTATCAGTTTGGAATCCTGCTCTCTGCGGACTCTCCAGAGCCTAGGATACTTTCTGGCACACAGGCAGCGTTCAATAAATGTAGGAGAGCAAAAGAACGAGAAAGAAAGTGAAGGAAAGGAGTGACAGACGGGTCTGCGGAGAGTCAAGCGGACTTACGGACGCTGAGACCCCAGCTGTCTCAGTCCCGCCCCCCAGGCTAGGCCCACGACCGCTCGTGACGCTCCCATGCCAGCCCGCGCCCTGCCGCACAGCATGGAAGAACGAGCCCCAGGTCCAGTGCCGCGCGAGAACACTCACCCGCCCGCGGCTGCCTGGGAGCACCTAGTACACCCTCCGGCATCATCTTGTCCCCTCGGCCCGCGGTCCGGAAAGATACAGGATACAGGAGCCGGAAGGGCCTGGGCGCTACGCACGTCGGGACTTGTAGTTTACGGACTTCTGGCACTCCGGCGGCTACTTCACACTTTGAATTTCCTAAACTACGACTTCCGGCGACCTCGGCACTAAAGGACCAGATTGGTGGCTTCAGAATCACTCTATGTTGCAGGTCGGAATTTGATTGGCTAAATGCACTCGTCGCTCATTTACTCAATGGTTCTACAAAGGGAAGGCAGTTCGAGCACCCCAAGATACCGCCTCCAAAAAAAAAAGTCTACGGTATGATTGGTGGAAACTGCATGATAGCTTGAGGAGCCTATCAGCAGCGAAAGAAGGTGGGCACTTCCTCAGAGACTGTCCAATCACATAAGGGGCAGTTCTATAAACGCTTGCGCTTCGACCACAGCCGGCCTTTTGGGAGTGAGCGAGCAGTGTAGGCTGGTAATCTTTTTGTCTCTCCACAAGGCCCGCTTTTTGTCGGCAGTGGTCGCATGGAACTCGAAGGGCCGGTCGATTGCAAGCCAGCCTTTCCTCGACTGCTGCGGAAGTCTGGGCTCTGCTTTTTAACATGTCTCTTCAATCTTCTGACTCCCTTTTTGCAGGTAAGGTAAGTCGGGCCTGGCTTTCTTTGGCGGCACCAAGCCTGTGATGAATTGCTTTTCTTCTGACACCTCGTATGAAAACTGCATGTGCAGTCTGATTACATTGCAAGACTGAGGCTTGGGAACGCTACCTTTAATTGAACAGCTGAGAATGAAAAGTTACCAAAAGTAAAGATTTCTGTTTGACTTTCAGGGCATGGTGAGTGTGCTGCAGACCTTGACTGTAAATCAGCTGCATCCAGGCAACAGGATTTTCTGGTAAGCTGGGCATCTATGTATCTGAATAAAGCGAAAGTACAATCTTACTCCGTCTTCAAATGTCGTTATTTCATGTACTGCAGAGGGCCTAGTTGGTAGTTGCCGTCTGTAAAGGGGTGAGTCAATGAAAGTAAAGCCTCCTGTTTTTAGAACTCTGCTCTGGGGGGTGAGCTTTTAGCCTGTTCTGTGTCAGTAATAGGTTTCTGGACACTCTGGTCTTGATAACCCAATCTCCATAGGGGACTTTTTTGTGAGGGTATTTATACGTGGAGTCTTCCACCAGGTGAATTCTGAGGATGCTAAGCCTGGCTTGCTTGTAAATCCCTTTACCCCCGCCCCCCACTAAGCCATCCTGCTGACCCTGTAAGGTGATTTTCCACAGATGACACAAGCTCCAGAAAACATCTTTATTAATAGGGACTTTTGAGGACAGGTTTTTACTCAAATTGTGGTTTGAGAACACAACGTGGAAAGGACTGGGGCAGCCTGCTGGGTGGTGACTTGTTTGTAGTGTCCCGACATTTATTTTGGTGATCTCACTACCTGCTAGTTTCCTCTAAGCCTCACAGTGAGTGGGCTGGAAGCAGGCTGCTGGGTGGGATACCAGCTGGGCTCTATGATGTCCTGAGCTACAAATGCCCAGGAGAGGGCAGCAAAGTGCCATGACATGTTTTATATGCTTCAAAACCACTTCTGTTATGGCCTCTGGGGCAAAAGGGGTGATGGCATTTGGCCTCTAGAGTCCTGGGCACACCAGGAGCATCCACTGGATCACAGACTTCGGGTACAACTGTCCAAGGGAGGGTTGTTTCTTCAAGAGTGGAACTGAGATCAGCCAGGTTCAGAGACGACAGCAAGAAACCCCTTGACCCTCCTTCTTGACATAGTCGTGCAGTCTGAAGTGCGGCTGGCTGGGAGCCTTTATGGATCGATGTTTCAGCTCCCTGAAGAGCAGGGATGACAATAGAGCACATGCAGCCTGTGCAACCTCGAGGTTTATGGCCTGGAACATGAGGGCAGTGTTTCTGTTCACTGCCAGGACTTACTTTGCTATGGCAGTGAAAGCCAAGTCCACGTTGAGGCCAGTCTTTGCGCTGGTTTCCATGAAAGGCAGCCCATATTCCTGCAAACAGCTGCTGCCAGTAGGGTGCTGGCCGAACGGGGGCAGCCCAAGTGTTACAGCCTTGAGGCCACCCTCATCATCCACCCTGTTTTGACTCACCTTAGCTAGTTTCTCCCCATCTTCCCTCTTTACCACACGTTCTTGGGTAGAGTCGACCTGGTCCAGGCACAAAAATTTTGTTAGTTCCAGGACATGGCTTGCCCTGTTGGGCCAGGCTGGAGAGAGCAGGTTCACATTCTCACCTTGTTCCCCAGCAGCATGAGCACCACGTCCTGCTGGGCATACTCCTGGATCTCTGTCAACCAGGCCTGTATGGGGAGAGCTGGGACCAGTTTCAGGGCTGGTCCTTGCCCTCTTGTGGCACACCTTTTTGGGTGCCTTTTTCTAGAAGCCCTCCCATGTGTGGGATAGAGGTACCTTAACCTCTAAATCTGGCTAAATAGAGCCAGATGGCACTCAGGCCTGATGGATTAGTGAATGCCCAACTTGGCCACCATGAGCTCAGAGGCTCATCAGTTCCTATCCTTTGTAGGGTTCTTAGAACTCTAGGGACCTTGATGCCATCTAGACAGTCTGGGCCCATTCCCCCACCAGAAAGGCCACTGACCTGAATGTTGTCGAAGGAGTCCTTGTTGGTGATGTCATAGAGTAGCAACAGTGCTGGATACAGAAAGTAATGAGGACATCGCTGGGGCCCAGTGGCTCCTTAACTACCCACATACTTATAGACATTACAAGTCACAGGATATGACCTCACCCTCTCCTGCGGTCCCACAGTGTACCTATGCTCACCCAGACTCCCTGTGGAGAACTGATCCCCCGTATCTATGGGCTTACCATGAGCATCCCGGTAGTAGGCGTGGGTGACACTTCGGAACCGCTCCTGACCTGCTGTGTCCCAGATCTGTGGCAACAGGCACTGGTCATATTGCCCAGCCTCTCCCTGGCATCTCCAGCCCCAAACCTGCACTCCTGTAACCTTACCTGCAGCTTCACTTTCATGCCATCCACATCCAGAACTTTATTCTGAAACAGAACCAGCCAGCAACAGTAAGGATGCCTGTGGTCCTCTGGGGGGTTCCTGAGGTTAAAGTAGTAGCAAGCCATGACTAAACCCCTACTGATGGGAGGTTGGGGGGGGGTCCCTATTCCATTTCTACAGCACCTCCTGATTCTCTTTCTGCTTTGAGAACTTAAACCAGCCTACAGGTCACATTTATGCTTAAAATCTGATGCTCCTAGCAGCTGCCTGGTACTCCCTGCCACTGCTTCCAGCATCAACCCTGGGAGGATCCTCTCCAGATGAGCCTGCCTGGACCCTTCTTCAGATGGCTGCCCTGATACTAGGTTATCATGGCCAGCTATGTCCACTTTGGGGCCTTGCTTACTACCACCCAGCCCCCGCACACCAGGTCCTGCTACACAGGTTCCTACTTGCCAAGAGAGTAGCACTGCTAGTTCCTGCTTAAAGACTTCAACTAGCCCAGTTAAAGTCATCGATGGTACAAATGGTACACTGTGCCCTGGTTTCCCCATCTGTAGATGGTGATAGATAGGGCAACTTCAGCTTAATGAGCTATTGTGTACACTGAGAACTACATCCTGCCTGGGAAAGCTAATTTCATCCCCACCACCACCAACAACAACAACCACTCGGACATCCATTTCTAAGGGCCTGGACTTAAGCATGACTCTGCTGTGCCCACAGAGCCCAGAACTGTGGCTGGTACATAGGTCATATTCATAAACTTGCTGTCTCCGGTCTAGACCTGTCCCTTTCAAGATTAGACACCATGCTAGAGTGCCCACCCACCTGTCACCCCAGAGAAGGGGTGACTACAGGTTGCCGCCATGGGAGGCTAGGCCTGGCTCCCCCTTTCTCCAGAGCTGCTGTCAGTGCTTCTAGGTCTCCAGGGAACCAGGCTCAGCCATCTGCCTGGCAAGGGAGCATACTTTGCCTTTCCTGCACCCTGAACAGGGGTGCAAACCACACAGCCCTACCTCCCTCACCTTCCACCCAGGAGCCAAGAGGAGGGGGGAAAAGAGACCAGGATAGGCAAGAAACACCTGCTTGTTCAAGCTTGTCCTGCTCCCTCTGGCACTTCAGCCTTTACTTCATCCAGAACTCTGGGACCTAGAGGGTCCTCAATAAAGAAAATTTCCTACTAGGAGAACCCCCCTTTCCTGTCCCCAGAGTGGGCCTTCCTCCCAACCTCCTGCTAACTGGGTCTAATTAAAGGGTGAGAAAAATGCAAATTCAGGATTTGCCAAAAACATACCAGCACCTCTCAGCACATGAGATTCAGACTGGGCAAGGGGGTTGGGAGGGCTTTGACGCTAGAGCTCCCAGGACCCTGCCTGGGATCTTAATAAGGACTCTTCCAAGCTGTACTGTATTACAGGTTCTAGAGAGTTCCGAGTACCTCCCATATCCTTGGGTCCCCCCTTTGGTGGGAGAGCAACATTGGCCTCCTTAAGTGAACAAGCAGGTCTTAAGTTTCCTCTCACTGTCACTACCCAAGGGCACAGGTACATCTCATCATAGCATCAGCCTGTGGTAAGAATAGAACTCTCTGCTGCAGCTGAATGGCGTGGTACCTTGGGTGTTAGGAGGCTTCCCCAGGACCCTCAGGTGTTGGGAGGCAGCTGGTTTGGTAACTAAGCTCTCATCCCCTGGGCCTATAGATACATCTGGAGATGGACAATCCAGGGTACTGGGAGGACTAGGTATAAGAACCACAGTACAGCTGGACCCAGGCAGAGCTCAGGACATCAGCCTCCATTCTCACCCGGAAGTCGATGCCCACAGTGGAAATGAAGGTACCAGCCAGGAAAGCCCCATCCTTGAAGCGCACAAGCAGGCAGGTCTTCCCCACACCGGAATCCCCCACCAGCATGACCTAGAGCAGACAGGAGGGTCAGAAGAGTCAGGTTTGGGGCTGGGGGCCTTGCCCACCTAGAGATGCTTCTGGTCTGCCTTGAGCTGTGGGGGAGGAGCAGGAGAGGAAATGAGTGTTCCAGGCCTATAGGTTCTGCATAGCTTGGGGAAACACAGCAGCCATGGTCCCCAATAGCTTGGATGCCCAGCTTATCTGCCCCTGGTAGTCCCATGTCACCTCTCCCTCCAACAATGGCACCTTAATCAATGGGGAGTGAGGACCACTGTCCCGGACCAAGATCTTACCTACCCCTCCTCCATAGACATCATGCTTGATCTGGGAGGGCAGCATTTGGGGCCTATGGGGAGCAGAGCATGAGAATGCAGCTGGAACCTGCTAAGAGACCTGTGGGGACTCAGTGCCAGGGGCGGCTTCAATTCCAGCAAACACACAAATCTCAGCAGCAAGACTCCGTAGAGGTGTGCCAAACAGCTTTAGAAGTGAAGAGGGGCTAGGGATCATCTGTGGGCCCCAGGGGCACACCGGCAAAGTCTCCCTGCCCCCACCAGCCCTGCTTCCAAAAGCTCCAAAACCCAATGATGGCCCTGCCTTCAGAGGTCAAATTCACACAAGCTTCAGTTTTGGCCTCGGGGTGGCCACTTTCTCATTCAGAAAAAGGAGACTTACAGCCCCTGGGGGAGAGGGAAGGCAGCATATGGATGGGAACCGATTAGAGTGGAGAGGCGGTAGGACAGCTTTCAGAAGCTTGCTTGGTCTTACAGTAGGTGGAGTAGGGGCAGGCCCTGCCAGCTGTTGAACATCCCAAACCTAAGCTTAATAGGTGTGTGTGTGTGTGTGTGTGTGTGTGTGTGTGTGTGCATTTGTGTGTACACGCGCGCGTGCACGCGCGCGTAACAACCTAAAGTGCTGCCTGGCTAGCTGCGAGGGGCTGCTCTGGCCAGTTCAGCGGCAAAGGTCCGCGCGGCCCGCACTCTTCCCCAGAGGCCCTTCCGATAGTCTAGTATCCAACGCCACCTGCTGCACTCCCATGGCGGGGAGGTGCCTAGCTCACCTTGAAAGCAACGTCGTAGAAGTCTCCAGAGCCACCAAGTGAGGGCCGGCCGGACTGCGGGGGCCCGTTGGGCAGCGCCTCTGGGCCGGGACGCGCAGTTCTGGGACATGCCAGACGGGGTCGATTGGCG